ACTGCTATCATGTCACCCTTAGTCCTTCTTTTCATTAAACTAGACATACCCACTTCCTGCAACTGTTTTATATGTTTTAGCCTGCAGTCCCCTAATCCTCTTTGTTGCTCTTCTCTGCACTCTTTCTAGAGTCTCCACATCTTTTCTACATCGTGGCGACCAAAACTGAATGCAGGATTTCAAGTGTGGCCTTACCAAGGAATCATAAAGTGGTATTAACACTTCACGTGTTCTATTCTATCCCTCTGTTGATGCAGCCTAGAATTGTGTTGGCTTTTTGGGCAGCTGCTGCCCACGGCTGGCTCCTATTTAAATGGTTGTCTACTAGGACTCCAAGATCCATCTCACAGTTACTACTATGGAGCAAGGTGCCACCTATACTGTACCTGTGCATTCCGTTTTTCTTGCCTAAATGTAGAACCTTGCTCTTTTCACCACTGAATTTCATTTCGTTAGATAGTGCCCAATTTTCAAGTTTGTCAATATCCTTCTGTATCTTAAGCCTATCTTCATGTTTCTTTTTCCTTGTCTGCCTATTTAAAATGTGCTGGCATTTTTTTAAAAATTGAAGAAAGCATGGGACAAAATTATAAAGGACATTGGAAGATCAATCCAGAGCAAAAGAAAAACGAAGAAACAATCAAGGAGAAAAAGTCTACAGACGCAATTACAAAGAGAATACCAGCCTTGAATATCCATACTTAGTTCCATTAATACCCTGTTTTCCCAAAAACAAGACCTCCCAGGATAATAAGCCCAATTGGACTTTTGAGCGCATGTGCTAAGATAAGCCCTCCCCTAAAATATTTAAACGCATGCACAGCCGGTCCCCGTCATTTCCTCGGGGGAAGGAAGGGGACATGCCCCACGTCCCACTGCAATCCACGCAGAAGGGCCTCGCGGAGCCGCTCCCGCAAACACTAGCTACTGTGCCCCTTCTCTTAGCGGCAGCTGTAAAAAGAGCGGCAGTCCCAGTGATGCTAGGGCTGGTAAGAGTGTGCCAGAAACAAAGACAGAACTTCCGGCCCTCTCTGGATCAGCTGATCCACGGGCCAAGGTTAAGGGGCCTCCTGCACCTCAAAAATAATAAGACCTCCCCGAAAATGAGGCCAAGCACTTATTTCGGGGGAGTCAAAAGAAAATAGGACCATGTCTTATTTTGGGGGAAACACGGTATTTAAGGGAAAATATTGGGAATGCAACGAATAAAAGAATTAACCTTCACAATTAGACACCGCAAGACGAGAGGTATTTCAGAAAAGAGACCAATCGGTGATCATGGCCTTGCTTCAAAAATCAATTTTTCTCAAACTTAGCAACTCTGTGTCAAGCAAGGATGGAGGATTCTGGGAATTGGGCACTGATAAAATGAAATTCAATGGTGAAAAGAGTCAGGTTCTACATTTAGGCAAGAAAAATGAAATGCACAGGTACAGTATAGGTGGTACCTTGTTCAATAGGAGTAAACTCTGAAAAGGATCTTGGAGTCCTAGTGGAGAACCATTTAAATAGGAGCCAGCCATGTGCAGCAGCTGCCAAAAAAGCCAACACAGTTCTAGGCTGCATCAACAGAGGGAGAGAATCAAGATCCCGTGAAGTCTTGATACCACTTTATAAGGCCTTCGAAAGGCCACACTTGGAATATTTGCAT